CTCACTTCTTAACAAGAAATCCTATAGAAGTTATTATTATAGCATGAAGCAAAAAGTGTTAAAATTGCCAGTGATTTTAGGGCATGTTGAGCTCCCTGTCCAGAAAAAGAGGTAGATAAACTACAGATAATTGTGGTATTCCTGGAAATCATATGTTAGCCTCTGCCCTTGCTGTGGGAAGCTAGTACATCACAGTTATGCCTTCCCTTGGTCCAATCTTCAATCAAAGCCAGGATGCTTCATTACTTTGCTTACAGAAAGACTTTTCATATGCTCCATAATATTTGCTAAAGATACTTGAGGAAGAGGGAATGTGAATGGAGAAATAGATTCTGGGATACATGCCACATCTGCTATGCTGCCAATGGCATCCATGTTACCCAGAGAGCACCCACGTGTTGGCCCCGTGTCTGAGTTTTCTCTTCAAGGACAACGCAATAAAGAGAAAGGCGGCAGAGGTGGTGCCTTAGTTACCAACACATCACATTCCCCAAATGCTTAAAGTTCTTAAAAATGAAAACATAGTTTCAAAAGAAATTTATAAAATACCATTGACTCCATTGTTAAGAAATAGCCATTAATGTAATTATCAGGAAGATATAGATGAAATGGGAGGGCAGGGAAAACCATACTGCGAAAGGGACTTACAACCATACAAATTGCTTCTCATAATGAGACTAGAAGGCACCACTTGGATCAAAACCACTTGAAATGCTTCACAAAAGTGTAGCTTCTCTGACATTACATTAGAATCATTGGGAGAAGGGCCCAGGAACCTGCCTTTCCTACAAGATTTCTGAGGTCTCATACACAGTAAAGCTGAGGGCTCCAGCTTATCGTCTTAGCCTTCATCTGCATTTGCGCCATTTGATGGGCATCCATTCTTGCCTTCTCTGTCAGTTTCCTGGAGGACAGCCCCCTGAGCTTTATCTTTAGCTTTGTAGTGCCTGCTTCATGTGTTTCTCCATCTATTCTATTGGACTCACAGGGCTTTACATGATTGAATCTTTTATATCTTAGCTATGAGTACTTTCATTTTTTTATCTCCAAGTCTTGCACTCTCTTTTGTTCCCATGTTATCTGTTTTCCCTAGCAGAAATTACATATTGTCATTGTCCACTTACTTCTTTTTTTTTTCTTTTGTAGAACCAGGGATTGAACGCAAGTCTTTGTGCTTGCTGGGCAAGCACTTATTCTACTGAGTCATCTCCCTGGCCCCTTGTCCACTTACCTCTTAAACATTGAGTTTCTCAGTGGAAGAGCTTCTTGGTTCAGGATAAATGATGAGTAATTAGCAAATGAGGAATGAACGATTTCTTTTGAGTCATGTTTCTTACTACTTAGTGCTAATTCTTTTATTCCAGAAGTTACACAGCAGGCATTTTTGTAAATTTTCTCTACACCCTTATCTTTAACAACAGTGTCATTGAAATGTTTCTTATATACCCAGGACAAGATAAGAAGACATGAATTTCAGTGCTATAACATTTGAAACTACAGTTTCAACTGTATTTCTCTCAATAGCCTATATTTTGGTAAGATTAAGAATCTGCTCCTTCATAAGATTGAACTACTTTCCTCCATGTTCTCAGGAAACAGCACAAAGTGCTACCTTTGACATTACACAGAGAAAGTGCAAGTCTGAGATGATTTTAACTAAATCTAGAAATGGGTTTATTTTTAACTAAAATAGTTTTCAAAAGAAATATCAGATTTATTATTTTCTGTGTGTTAAAGAGAAAAAAAGATTAAAATGACTTCTGATAAAGGACACATATTCACTGAATCATTCAAGAAAATTAAAAGTTCAAAAGTTCACTTGCTCTTCACCAAAGATAAAGATTTGTAGAATCAAGTCTATTGCTTATTTATAAGAACCCTGGAACAGAGCTGGACGGGTTACCTGGAAAACTTTTACTTCTATAATTTGGCAAAGATGAAAGACAGTCTCTTTTCAGTATAAGATAAACTAAGTTGGTGTCTGACTTGTATATGTGCTATATTTGACATGTAAGCAAAGATTGTATGAATTTGGTAACAATTTCGGAAACATGACTTGCTGAGAGCATTTTCTACTTCTTTTTGCAGTATCTGTCTTTCCAAAGCTCTTGTCGTTCTGGCCAACACACATTGCCCATTCATGGAATAGGCATGACTCATTTCAACCTATTAACGTCCATCTGGTACCCATTAAATCAGAAGACTTAATAGAAGGCAACTAAGAAACTTAAAGAGACCTTTCAGTGTCTCTACCATCTAGGCTCTTCATCTAGGCTCCTGTTTGAAGCAGACCTGATATGCTTAGTATTCACCATGAATTCCCCCTAAAATATTTGCATCTTTGGACAGTATTGATTATGTTATTGATCATTGACTGGTATATAGGAAAAACTCATCATGGGCTTGTAGGAGAAAAACAAACCTCTTTCCAATCTAATTTTCTATAGTTGCTGTTTATCAGAATCATCGCCAGTGTTCACATCCAAAGGCTAAATGTCCATATCAGTGACAAGTATAAAGTATAAAATTGGGAAACATGTTACACTGAGACTGGAGTACCACACAATTTGCAAACAACTCTTCAAGAATAATATATGCATTGAGTTATATCAGATAGCCCTAATCAAGAGGTCAAATTAGGAAAGATGTAGTTCTTCCTACATGTATCAATTAAATTGCATATAATTAGTTTAAATGAAAATTAATCATCATTGATTTTTTTTCTCCTCAGGCAAATCTCCATTGCTGAAATATAGAACTTAGAGTTGTGTCATAACCTCTTACAGTTTTTCATTGGTATCAATAAAAAATAGAAATTGTTAGAGAGATGGTGGGCAATGTCAAATGTTTGAAAAAATAGATAAGTTGAGGAGCTAGGACAAGCACAAAATAGAACTGGCATTTAGTGAAAAAGAACTACTGAGCCATCACATATAAATATGTGCTCATTATTTGTCAAAAATAAATAAACGCCCCCTCGCCATTTAATCAACTCCATTCTTCTATCATCTTTTTTTTTTTTTGGACAGGATCTCACTAGATATTTCAGGCTGGCCTTGGACTCCCATGTCACCTGGGCTGGCTTGAGGCCCATGGTGAACCTCCTGCCTCAGATGCTCAAGTTCTGGGATTACAGGAATGTACCACCATGCCTGGCTTCTAGAATAACCTGGATAGTGATTGAAAATTCAGGGAGAACACAGTTTTATTGGACTAACTTTGACCATGTGATGCTTCTTGGTTAGAGGAAAACAGAACACCTTGATTGACTTCTGCACCAAAAGGACATAAACGAAATTAACATGATGTTGAAAGGGCAGTAAATGGGGGAGGGGAGGGGCAACAGTACCAACTGTCATTAGTGTTTGGTGGGTTCTTAACCTGAACTTTATTATTAAAAATCTCTGGAACTGTGTAAATGTTCACATGGATGTTGTTTTCTCAGATCCTTAAGGAAGTTCAAGTCACAAAAGGGCTAAATCTGTTAGAGAGTATTATAAAAATGTTTTTTATACATTTTTCCAAAATACAGTGCCTTCAGTACAAGTTATCTTAATCCTCAGTAGGAAATCTTTGCATTTAGTTTCACATTCTTTGTATTTTTGAAAAGGATATTTAAGAGGATAATGAAAACAGGAAAATAATCCTTATTCTGGAATTTAATGTTTGTTGATGTGCTGATTAATAAGTAACTTTTTAGAGTTTGGAAGATAAAATTTGCCTGAGATGTAGAGGCAGGCAGCCAACCATCTTTTATCATGTTGTAGCTTTATAGCTACAAAGCCCACCCCAGAACTACCCTAGGCCCACCTCTCTGAACCCCCTCCCTTCAGAGAGGGTGGGCCTAGGGTAGTTCTTCAGGAAGAGGTCATGGTCATGGCCACTGATCTTCCTCAACCAAGCCACCATCATATTCCTCAGTCGGCTTCCTCTCCATTCTCCATCATGAATATGTCAAAACCTCTCTGTTCTCTTCAAACCTCTGCTACATATTTATCATTCTCAGTCATGGAGTAAAAGTTTCTTCATATCCATTTTATTGTCATATACTTGTGTCTGAAAATAGACTAGTTCCCTACACCCATTCTTGGCAGAACCAACAGGTAGCACACAATCCTCTTCATTTCCCCTTTGAGAAAGAGGGCTGGGAGAGAGGAGAGAGGTGGCTCTTTGAAAAGGGCCTATCAAAGCTGTTAAAGGGGAAAAATGCTTTCATAGTAAAAAGGTAAAATTATTCATCATGCTACAAATATCCCTGAAGATATCTAACCTCAGTGAGTCTTATGTGAAGCTCATGAGAGATATTTAGATTTATAATTTAGTGTTGAGTCTATGAATCAAAGCTTTTCTGGGGGCCGAGGAGACAGCTCAGTGGCATAAGCACCTGCCTTGCAAGGGCAAGGTCCTGAGATTGATTCCCAGTACCACCAAAAAAAAAAAAAATACCATCAACATATCTCACAGTCCTAGAGAAATCATTAAAAAAAAAAAAAAAAAAAAAAAACACCAGAAAAGAAAAGAAAAAGAAACAAATATACAAAGCTTTTCTTTTTTGGAAACATAAATCAATGACTGGGAACCTGGCCACCACTGTCAAATTTATAAAATTGATGTCTTTAAATTGCAAACCTGGGACCAAGACCTGAGAGGCCCCCAAGTTATGTGATACTCTGTAAGATTTGGCCTAAAACAGTTATCTGGTCCTCCCTGTTTTTGTTTTATGTACAAAGAAAGTTTTTTGGATTATTGCTTTTAGAAATGGTCTGAGTCAGGACATCAAGCTTGACTTTCTAAAGGATAATACATTAATTTCCTGTCTGATTAGTAATTATTATTGTCATTGAGAAGCACAGTGTTATTTTTATTTTTTATTTCCATTTGAATAGGACATAGAGTACTCCAGTATATTTAGCATAGTAAAATATGTCATTGAAAATAACAGTAGAAAATACAGTGCAACTGTAGAATTTTTCAGTTATAAAAAGTAAAGAAAGGGACCGGGCATGGCCCGAGTCTAACAATGCTGCTCCCCTCGTGTCTCCGCTCTCCGTGTGCACCGCTCTCGGCTCGAGCGCGCCTGCACCTAAAGAAGTAAACAGGTCATGGCACGTTTAACAAAAAGGCGACAGGCGGATACAAAAGCTATCCAGCATCTTTGGGCAGCAATTGAGATTATAAGGAACCAGAAGCAAATTGCCAACATTGACCGAATTACAAAGTATATGTCTCGAGTCCACGGTATGCATCCAAAAGAGACCACCCGTCAGCTGAGTTTAGCTGTGAAAGATGGTCTTATTGTCGAAACTCTGACAGTGGGCTGCAAAGGTTCCAAGGCTGGGATTGAACAGGAAGGATATTGGTTACCAGGAGATGAGATTGACTGGGAAACAGAAAATCATGACTGGTATTGTTTTGAATGCCATTTGCCTGGAGAGGTGTTGATATGTGACCTGTGTTTTCGTGTGTATCATTCCAAGTGTTTGTCTGATGAGTTCAGGCTTAGAGACAGCAGTAGTCACTGGCAGTGCCCAGTTTGCAGGAGCATTAAGAAGAAGAATACAAACAAACAGGAGATGGGCACATACCTGAGGTTCATTGTTTCCCGCATGAAGGAGAGGGCAATAGATCTTAATAAGAAGGGGAAGGACAATAAACACCCAATGTACAGGAGGCTGGTGCATTCAGCTGTTGATGTTCCCACCATACAAGAGAAAGTGAATGAGGGGAAATACCGAAGTTATGAAGAATTCAAAGCTGATGCCCAGCTGCTTCTCCACAACACAGTGATTTTCTATGGAGCAGACAGTGAGCAGGCTGACATTGCGAGGATGCTATATAAAGATACGTGTCATGAGCTGGATGAACTTCAGCTTTGTAAGAACTGCTTCTATTTGTCAAATGCTCGTCCAGACAATTGGTTCTGCTATCCTTGTATACCTAATCATGAGCTGGTTTGGGCTAAAATGAAAGGTTTTGGGTTTTGGCCAGCCAAAGTCATGCAGAAAGAGGACAATCAAGTTGACGTTCGCTTCTTTGGCCACCATCACCAGAGGGCCTGGATTCCTTCTGAAAACATTCAAGACATCACAGTCAACATTCACCGGCTGCACGTGAAGCGCAGTATGGGGTGGAAAAAGGCCTGTGATGAGCTGGAACTACACCAGCGTTTCCTTCGTGAAGGAAGGTTTTGGAAGTCTAAGAATGAGGACCGAGGTGAGGAAGAGGCAGAATCCAGTATCTCCTCTACCAGTAATGAGCAGCTAAAGGTCACTCAAGAACCAAGAGCAAAGAAAGGACGACGCAATCAAAGTGTGGAACCCAAAAAGGAAGAACCAGAGCCTGAAACAGAAGCAGTAAGTTCTAGCCAGGAAATCCCCACGATGCCTCAGCCAATCGAGAAGGTGTCAGTATCAACACAGACTAAGAAGTGCCTCTTCCCCTAGAATGCTGCACCGGAGCACCCAGACCACCAGTGATGGGGTCTGTCAGAGCATGTGCCATGACAAATACACCAAAATTTTCAATGACTTTAAAGACCGGATGAAGTCAGACCACAAGCGAGAGACAGAGAGAGTTGTCCGTGAAGCTCTGGAAAAGCTACGTTCTGAAATGGAAGAAGAAAAAAGACAAGCTGTAAATAAAGCTGTGGCCAACATGCAGGGTGAGATGGACAGAAAATGTAAGCAAGTAAAGGAAAAGTGCAAAGAAGAATTTGTAGAAGAAATTAAGAAGCTCGCGGCGCAGCACAAGCAGCTCATATCTCAGACCAAGAAGAAGCAGTGGTGCTACAACTGTGAGGAGGAGGCCATGTACCACTGTTGCTGGAACACGTCCTACTGCTCCATCAAGTGCCAGCAGGAGCACTGGCACGCGGAGCACAAGCGCACCTGCCGCCGGAAAAGATGAAGCCGGCCCCGCGTCGCCCGCCCGACGAGTAAGCCTCAGACACAGTGGTTTTTGTTTCCAAGAAGCCAAAATTGTTTAGAATTTGCTTCCCATTTTGCACCAGCCTTTAAACACTTTTCGTGAAGAAATTTTGCACAGTAGTTTAAATCTTTTGTTAATGCTCCTCTGGAGTTTTTCAGGGGGTAAAAAGTAACATCAGTGGAGGGTATTATTTTAAATAAATTTTAATTGAGAATTTGTTGCATTTTCAGCAAATTTTAAAACATTTTTAGGTTTTACAGAGATTTTAACCTTTAAACAACAGATCTTAAAAAAAAAAAAAAAACCAGGTGAATACAAGTGAGTTTAACAAAGAAACATTTAGAATAGATCTGAATGTAAGAACTACAGAACTCTTTCAGAATAAAACATACTACCTTGGAAAAAAAATAAAAAAAAAAATAAAAAGTAAAGAAAGTTAAATAATCCCAAAACTTGAATACTCTAATGACATACTTCCTGGAAATTAAGACAAGTAATTTGAACTTCATGCTATTTCCTTATTCTAAATCCACTTAAATGTGAATTGGAAAACCCACAGAGTTATTCAGCAAGTGCCTTAATAATCATTGTTTTCTATCATAATCTACAGAGAGATATTTTTCTTAAAATTAAAGCTGGACAAAACAAAGAGCAAAGCCATGTTATTTATGGGCATCTTTGAAATACTCCTCCTCTACATGAGACAAACAAGTTCTCACATATTAGAATGTCACTGACTTACAGGTTTATGCGATTCTTTTTTTTTAACCTCCTTTTCCAACTGTATAGTCTAGTCCCCTTACTTAAGAAGTGGGACTAGGGCTGGCCAAATAGCTCAATGGATTAAAGTGCCTGCAAGCAAGAGCAGGGCCCGGGGAGTGCTGAAAAGGCAAGGCAATGGAGACTGGGTGTGGTGGTGTGAACCTGTAATCTCAGCTCTTTTTTTCTGTAAATCTATTTTTTAAATAATTTTATTGAGAAACAAATAGCAATGAGACAGTTTTAAAACTGGTTAGTAGGACAGTTTCAATAATTAATACATTGCATATAGTTGCCTTCATAGTGGTTATTCATAGTACAAGATGCAGACATGATATCCTGTCCACAAACACTATTAGTATGAATCTTTCTATTCATTGAATTAAGAAAAAGTAGCTGTATATCTATGCTATTTTGTATATACAGATACAAAATGGTCCTTTGTTTGTATCCCCTTTTTTGGTTTAGTTTTGTCAGAGATGGGTATTCCAACTGGACTATTGGAATATTTTGCTGAATTCATGCATCTACAATATTTAAATGACAATCCCAGCTCTTGAGAGGTTGTAAACAGGCAGATCACTATGAGTCTCATCTAGTAGTGAGACACTGAACACCCAGTAGACCCTTCCCTAAAACACCCTTCCCCCCAGGAAAAAAAAAGAAGTGGAACTAGTTAGAACTCCCTGTTAACAAAATATCTTGCACAAAGTAAATGCTTTTTTTTTTTCATATCAAAGGATGCCAAACCCAGGTATCAAACTCAGGACCTTGTACCCACCGGGCGGACACTTATGCTGCTGAGCTATCTCCATGGCCACAAAGTAGATGCATTAAAAAAGAACTTCTGTGATCCAGATGCTCTCACTTTTCCCATAATAAAGGAAATATAGAATATTGACAGAACACAGGATGTGCAGTTTCTTCCAGCACTGGATCTTCCATCTGCATGGACTTCTACTCTACAAGGGCATCTGTTTTTCCCACATCCTGAGATCTTTCCAAATACCTTTTACAGCTCAAAGAATGAAGTCTTCATTTTAAGTCCACCACAATAGACTTTCCAACATTAAATATAAGGGAGAACTGATTCTGGGTTTTGTTTTACTAGATGGATTAACTTCTCCTAGGCCTGAACACTTGTTGTCAGCTGGACACTAAGCCCAAGGTCAATTGCTTATCTGTTTCCTGCCTTTTTCACCAGCTAATCAAAAAGGCTGATTCTGACTTGTTAGAGATAAATAACTATACAAAGAACTCCCTACAGCTTCTAAGCATCTAAAACACTTGCTAGCACTAATTTCTTCACTGATCTAGCATGTTTGGTAATGTTATGACAACAGAAACACCAAAGTAACACCCAGGATTCAGAGGAATATTTATTTAACATTGGATGGGCACTGCCAACGAATTAATCTTTAGAAAAATATCAGACTCTGAAGGCTCAGGGATGAAAGTTTTTGCTGGGTTGAAAGGGAATGGGCAGAATAATCAGAGTACCTGGCTGTGTTTGATTGGTTATGAATCCCAGTGACCAGCTATGCATCACAGACATCAGCTATTTCTTTCTTTTTTCTTTTTAATGTATTTGATTATTACAGGATCTCAAAAATGCATCTTGGACTCATGGTGATTCTTCTGCTTTCAGCTTCCCCAGCTCTGGGATTACAGACATGCCTGGACCCTGTGACCACCTCAGCCTGCCCTGGGGGCAGGGCTGGTGTGACATGTGGTATCAGGGACTGAACTGCAGTCCCTGCACTTGTCTAAGCTTGCCTAAGCAGTTGCTTTAGTCTACTGAGCTATCTTGCTGGCCCCAGGATCAGCTATTTCTAAGAAACAGAAGTAAAAGGAACTGTAACAAGAACTGTAACTTGAGCAAATGCAGTACACTGGCTGGTGTGCGTGTGTGTGTGCTGGGGGTGATTTTCTGTTATAGTAACAGCTTATAAAGCTCATCTCAAGACACTCTACTATTACGCATAAATTCTTAGGAAGAATTCAATAAGTTTAAGAAAAAAAAAACATGCTTTTCTTATAGAGCACAACATATAGACACACCTGCTGGTTAAATAGCCCTAGAATAATCTCAGCCTAAATGGCTGAAACAAACAAATGACCAAACACCCAAGGAAAATGTGATCCAGAGAAAGGAGTATCTGGAACATTGGTAGCAGATTTATCTTATGTATATTATTTGTTTTTGTTTTAAGATTAAAGAAGTTACTGTTTGACTTGTTCCTTTTTAAACCAAAACATCAGTGCTCAGGTTTATTCTCAGTAAATAATTAGCTGGGTTTTGGGTTGCAGTTTGGGAGTTTGTCTTTGGAGGTTTTACCATCGCTGGCTTAGGATGTTTTTGGAATAATTCTAAATAATTTCACACTAGTAGGAAGCCCTGAAATGTTATTGTTAATCAAGTCAAGCCCTTTCAGGTTAGAACTTGCTTAAATTCACACACAGCGATAGCACAAGGGATGTCAGGGTGGTGAGATGTCATGTGTGAGTGACAGCTGTCATCCCATCTCTGAGGATATAAGACCCTAAGGTCTAATAGATGTGAGCTGTCCTCATTGTGGGTGGTAAGAATGTTGTCAGTTGTGTCCAAAAGAACTTCGAATACCAGAGTTTTATGAAAAGGATTAGTTCATTTTTCCCCCACACAGAGAAAATACCTCAGCACATAAGTTACAAGGACCTCTGGCTGATAAGTGATTTATACTAAAAACACTGAACTTAGTCAGAAGAAAGCAATCCCTGCTATTTCCCTAGCCTGGAATTTGGATTCATTCCAGGCATTTCTCTCGGAATCAGGCTCAGACATCCGCGTCTGGAGTCCTAGAAAACTGATGAGCTCTTCCGCCTCATAAAAATCCTTTAGCCTTACCAGGCACACGGAGACTTATAGGAACAAAATTCGTCTTTTCCCTAATTTAGTTTCAAAGTCACCCACCCTGGCCATTCTCTTGCAGCTTTCCTTTCTCTCACCCCAGCATGTCCCTGTTTATGACCTTTCTGTCTGTCAAAACTTACTTTCGGTTTTTCCATTTTCATAGGCTCTGGAGAACACTATAAATGAGGGAATATTTTTCTTTTACTGTCCCTTAAAGGAGAGTTTTATTCACCACCATGTAGAACGCCCTGCCTTAGTCTGTTAGATTACAACAAAATGCCCTGGAATTGTTCTTGCAAAGAAGAGAAATTTATTGCTCAGGGTCCTTGAGGCTGAATGCTTCAAGATCCAGGCACCAGCAGGCTCAGTATAATGAAAGCTTCTTTCTCATAAATGACACCTTCTGTCTGTTCTCAAACCATGTTTATACGGACACCGATCCTACTCACGATGGAGGAGCCACTATGACGTAGCCACCTCCCAAAGACCCCGACTTGCACCATCATGACCTCGAGAAGTCAAGTTTCAGCGTACGGGTTTTGCGGGAACATATCCGGATCATAGCGTGGATAAACCGGAGGTAGTCTCTAAAATCAACTGGGATTTTCTGTTCTATATCTTAAATTAGCCTTACCACTACAATGCACACTAAAACGCCAATAAATTATACATTTATAAAGATTAGAAAGAGTTTAATCCCTGGTACCGCATGCGTGCTGACCCCAGAACCCTCAGCACACCGTGCCACCCCTGGTGGCACACTCCTGTAATCCCAGCGCTATGGAGGCTGAGACAGGAGCATCACTGTGAGTCCGAGCTGCATAGTGAGACCCTGTATCCAATAAATACACAAATAATTCAATAAATTTTTAAAAAAGATTACACTTTGGGTATTGATCGTTTAATATTATATAGAGATTTTGAAGCACACGATGTGACTTTGTCCAAATAAAATTAAACAAATAGTATCTGCAGTTAGGAGTGAAGATGAGGTCTTGAATTTTAAAAAATAATATACTTCACAATTTTTAAATGGGAAAATAACCTACAAAAATATGCAAAAAACAAAAATATTATGCCCAGGAGATAGCTCAATGATCTAAGCGCCTGCCTGGCAAACACAAGGACCTAGGTTCCGTCCCCAGTACCGGATGCTGTGCTGGCTCCAGAGATGGACGTGGTGGTGCATGCTTGTAATCCAAGTGCTAGGGAAGCTGAGACAGGAGGATTACTATGAATCTGAGCTGCGTAGTGAACCCTTGTACCAAATAAATAAATAAAAGACTAAAAAATTTTGAAAAGGTATTGACACAATCAGTAACAAGTTATATTTCTTTCAAGATTTTATATGTGAGGGGTGATGGAGATAGTTCAGTGGTCTAAGCACCTCCCTAGGCAAGCTCAAAGACCCGAGTTCTATTCCCGGTACCACATGCCCTGCAGACTTTGCTGTGGGTTCCCTGAACTGGCTACCAAGACCAGGAGTGATGGCACACCCCTGTAATCCCAGTGCTGGGGAGGTTGAAACACGAGGTTCTGAGCTGTGTAGCAAGACCCTGAACCAAATACATTAAAAAGAAAAATAAAGATTTTATGTTTGAGCAACTTGATTCATTTCTGAAAACCCTGGTGTTAGATATCAAGTCATTGAATTACAAAAATACATTAATTTTAATAGGAAAAAATGTTCCATCCAAATTCGAGATGCCAAAAGATTTTTTTGCAGATAGCAAAACATATC